CATACAAATAAGATTATAAATTTTGTCGTTTGAGGGTTTACAAGGTTCTACAAACTGAAACAAGGATCTCAACTCTGGAAGTAATCTACAGAAATTGTTGAAATTTGACAGGCTTTTTCGTTTTACTAATTTAAATAATGCTTATAAATTTCATACAGATCACATGATCACTTTTGTCATTCAAACGTTCACAATCGCCATAGAAATTATTGACAGAAATTGCTGAAATTCAATAGACCTGTTTCACAAATTTAAATGATGCATATAAATTTCATACATATCGGATGATAACTATCATCAATCGAGCATTAACAAGGTTTAACAAAGTGAAACAAGGGCAATAACTCTAGAAGTAATTATTGTAAATTGCTGAAATTCAATAGGCTTTTTCGTTTCACTAATTTAAATCATGCATATAAATTTCACAAAGATCGGGTGATAACTTTTTGCGTTAGAGCATTCACAAGGATCAATAAAGTGAAACAAGGGCCATAACTCTAGACGTAATAAACGGAAATTGCTGAAATTCAATAGGATTCTTCGTCTCACTAATTTAAATAATGCATACAATTTTCAGAAAGATCAAATGATAACTTTTGACGTTAGAGCGTTCACAAGGATCAATAAAGTGAAACAAGGGCCATAACTCTAGACGTAATAAACGGAAATTGACGAAAATCAATAGGATTCTTCGTTTCAGTAATTTAAATAATGCATGTAAATTTCAGAAAGATTGGATGATAACTTTTGGCGTTAGAGCGTTCACAAGATTCAATAACAAGGGCCATAACTCTAGACGTAATAAACAGAAATTGCTGAAATTCATTAGGCTTCTTCGTTTCACTAATTTAAATAATGCGTGTAAATTTCAGAACGATCGGATGATAACTTTTGAAGTTAGAGCGTTCACAAGGTTCAATAAAGTGAAACAAGGGCCACAACTCTAGACGTAATTAGCAGAATTTGCTGAAATTCAATAGGCTTCTTCGTTTCACTAACTTAAATATTGCATATAAATTTCACAAAGATCGTATGTTAACTATTGGCATTAGAGCGTTCACAAGGTTCAACAAAGTGAAACAAGGGCCATAACTCTAGACGTAATAAACGGAAATTATTGAAATTAAATAGGCTTCTTATATATATCAATTTTAAAACAACTGGATGATAACTTTTGGCGTTAGAACGTTCACAAGAAATTGTGGACGATGGACGGACGGACGGACGGGGGCGACGGCAATATACGTCCACATTTCAATGTGGGCGTATAAAAACAATAGTGTTTCACACAAGCTACACAGTGTGAAACCCTAATAATTCTGGTATTAAAAATAGACAAGGTTATCTATTGAAGCAAACAAGACGAGGATATCAACAAGGAGAACTTGTAATTAAAGCATAATGCTCCTGATAGGAGATTATGCATTGTGACTGTGATTAAAGAATATTTTAAAAGAACTGAGGAAGTTCATTCAGAGAAAAACTTTTCAAAGCTATTTTTAAGTTATGTTAAACCTTATAATCAAGTTCAATCTGGTTAAAACACAGATCCTATTTCGTTTTACTTGTCTTTACTACACTTGCATCTGGAAGAGTTGTTATTTAACTCGTGTTCTGAATGGTGTCAGGGATAAGCCAATGAAACAGTCTGTTACGGCGAGCTTTAGGCGTGTTTTTCACGGAACTGTGGGTAATCCACTAGTAACTTCAATGCTGATTGGTTAATCAAATGTCTGACGTCATAGAGTCGTAAGTCGGTCTTTTGACCCCTGACGTGACATATCGCTATAGCTTGTCAGATCTTCATGTAGTGTAGGCCATCGAAAGTATAAAAAAAACGAAACGAAATATAGATCTGTATTTTAATCAGATTGAATCAAGTTTAACAGGACGCAATCTCTAGGTGGCTGAAATATGTTCTTAAAATGTCCAGAATTGATATGAGCATTTTTTACCTGGCAGTAGCCAGTAAAGAGAAGGTTCCTAGTATTAGAATAATTTTAGATACAGCAGGTTGGTCAAATGAGTCAACATTTAGACAGTATTATGATAAACCTTTAATGGATGAGGGTGTGTTCTCAGAAACTATTTTGAACAGAGTTACTATTTAAGTGTTTAATTTGAACTAAACTGTATGTTATTGGATTTTCTTCGAAAAAATAGTAATTACTTGTCATTAAGCTTTCATATTTCATATGCAATGTTACTCACTATATACATGTATACGCATAAATATCAGCATTTTCCAGCGTCGTTTCCCCTTTCCAGTGGATGGACCGATCAACTGAGGACCCGTCTATAAATTGGGGTCCATGTTAAAGATCCCTTGGCAGTTGGAATTCGATATAAGAGTAGGCCAAAGTGCCGCTACCTGGGCAAAATATAACTCATAGCAACCTGTATAGCATATGCCTGTCTTAATTAGCACAGTAGAAGCAGGACGTTAAAGCCCATTTCATTTCATATTAATAACCGTCGCATTTAGGGTTGTATAATTCTCCAAATGATCATCCTACGACACAATGTACTTGTACGACATTTTCCACCATTTTTGAGTTATTTCCCGCCATTTTCATTTCCTTTTCTCATCTGTCCGGTTTTTCAACATCTAGATCCGTATTTTAAACTTCTCGAACGGGGAGTCAATTTCATTACAGCAATACAAGTCTCAGTTATTTCCCTTTATTTTCCAGTTTTGTTTTTTTTACCCTTGTGCAATGTTACTCACTATATATACGTATATAACTTCGAGTTTTGATTTTAATAACTTCTGTTCCTTGTTGAGATTCTTTATATAACCCATGATACACGACAGAAACTGACTGTGAATATGAAAGCTTTCATAACTGCCTAGCAGATCTAATTATAATTGTTGTTATTCATGGTTACAACTTTAAAAATCTTGGTTGGTCTCTAAGACCACATCATACAGCATGGTAGAATTTATAAATTAAACGAGACTTACTTGTAAGGTGAAGTTGGATTGTAATTCTACCATTGCTGTTGACGTATCCCTTCCCTTACTAAAGGACTGTTAATTTGGGTTGTGTTTTGGTACATTGACATGCATGTTTTTGTAACCATTCACACTTTGAAATATGACATCATCTGGTCTAAGAATGCACATCTCACTTGATCTCTATGATACGTCAAATGGGCACCAAATGCTGGGAAAATTTGGGCACACAATTGTACTTTGTAAAAGTTGTATAAAAAAATATTGTGTTCTTGAATGCGTCCAATTTAACAGCGAATTTAAATTCAGAGTGTCTTTAGTTAGGCAATTAAATAGAAATCTTAAGACTCGAACCCTCTATTGTTTGGAGTACAGTAAGCCACGAGTTACAGTTACATAAACAACTGTTTTTAGTTGTGTATATTACAAGTAAATAAAATTAAGTTCTCTTTTATTGATGATTTAGAAATTAAGAACTTATTCATCGCAAAAGAGATATTATGATTATTATGTAACATACTAAGAACCTAACTACATTTTTGGGGCACCAACCACCACCGCCCTCCCAGTCAAAATTTCCCCGTACGCCTATGCATATAGAATTACAATTTTTCGTTCAGTCCGGGGCCACATTCCAGGAAGTTACGGTCCGACATGCACGAATATTTAAAGGAACATAGATCTTTGGGATAAAACATGTATGTTAAGTTTCATTAAAAGCGGAAAAAATTGTTACCTCTAGAGGGTCCACAACCTTGGTAATTACATACTTTTACACTATTTGCATATGTTGGGCAGTTTAGGTCCGATTTCCACGACATTCAAACTCAACCGTCATTATGGTGTAACGGTGATATATTTGAATGGTTTTTAAAATCGAATACATCTTGTGACCTGTAAAGGGTCAATATGGTATAATATTGATATATTTAAAGCTTTTTTAAATCGAATAAAAATTGTGACCTCTAGAATGGCCACAATCTAAAAACAGGATTTTTCGTACAATCAGGGGTCATAATCCAGAAAGTTAAGGTCTGATATGTGCAAATATTGAAATGAATCGAGATCTTTAATATATAAACATAGGTTTTAAGTTTCATCAAAATTGGATAAAAAATGTGACCTCTAGAGTCTACAACCTTGGTATTAGTATTACATACTTTTACACTATTTGCGTATGGGGAGCAGTCATTTTGTCAAGCATTTTCAGTTTAAATTTCACGAAATTCAAACTCAACCGTCATTTAAAATCAAATAAAAATTGTAACATCTAAGGCGTTCATAAGCTAGAATCACCTTACTCCAGCTAGTGGCCATACTCCAGGAAGTTACGATCTGATATGAGAGAATATCTAACGGAACCTAGATCTTTGTGATATAAACACACCTTTTAAGTTTCATCAAAATCAGACTGTCAACTGTCAAATGTCCTTAACAGGAACCTGGCAAACCCCCTCCTGCAAATATTCCTGGATCCACCCCTGCACGAACCCAATGCTTCAAACCAAATTTGAAAAAAAAATTCACATGATTTTCGGCTAAATGGGGATAAGTCCAGAAAGGAAAGATGTAGAAAGCTGAAAATTGATATTCGTCGAAACTATAGCCTCTTTCGCATAAATAAGGTTTTCGGCAAAAGGGGGATAACTCCGGAACAGAAAGTAGTAGAACGCTGTATACCGATAGCGTTCGTCCTCTCATGACCTCCATGCTTCACACCAAATTCGAAAAGAATCCATCGAAAAATTCAGCCCCTATCGTATTCACAAGGTTTTCGGAAGGACGTTGATTATTCACATCAAATTTGAAAAGAATCCGCCAAAAACGGACAGGGTGACAACATAATACGCCCGTATTACAATGAAGGCGTATAAAATTAATATGTATTTGAGCTTCCGTACATGTATCATTAACAACATTATTTCCCTAGTTACATTTTAAAGTCTTAGCCAACATAAATCACATCAAATCCGAATATTTAAGACAATTCAAGTAAATTCTACCACTTTAACAGTTTATTTAATGTTATAATTCAACTACTTACCATGTCTACTAAAGAAATATAGAGAAACATTCCACCAGCTATAGCAAATACCCATTCATGTGCTGTAGTATTCTCCCCTAATAATACTCCAACAATTAAACCCAAATAACACATACAAGCTGATAGAAAGTTATATAGTAACGCTTTTCTTAAACTCATGCCAGAATTCAATAAAATAGCAAAGTCACCTGAAAGATAATAGTTTGAAACGAGAATTAAAATTTTCAAATGAGCGTGATATAGTGATGACTTTTAAAGAAGCACTTGAGATGTTTATGTTGCAGTTCCCAACCCCAACCCCACCATGCAAATCACAAGCTTTTCGGGACACACTATATATCTCTGGAACAGTAAGTCCTAGATTGCTGAAAATCAACCGAGTACATCCTTTCCGATTGCAATGGTTCACTCCAAATTGGTCAGGCAATAGGGTTAAGGAACCCACAATCCTAATAATTCACACTAAATTTGAGAAATAATCTGTTCAAAACTTTAGTTCACGTTCGCAAGATTTTCAGAACGAAGGAGGGGATAAGTCTGAAATACCAATATGATTGGTCCTTTCGTAACCCCAATACTTCACAACAAATTTGAAATAAATCTGCAAAAACAGAAAGGAAAAGCTATTGACGCAACAGTGGCTACGGTTTTTAAAAGATTTTTTGCAAATTTACTGTGGACCAGGGATCTTAATCGGCTGTTTTTTATCGGCTTTAGCCGCTTGAAGTTCAATCAAGCCAATTGGTAAAACAATAAACCGGCCACTATGCTATCATAAATCAATCTACTTTCGGCTAAATTACAACGGGTTAATTATTACTTGTTAATTAAGTAGTCCATCAACTTGCTTGTCGGCTACAACAACAGTCATACCATAATGAAAATCAGTCACGTAGTTCATAATCCCAGTAATTAGCATAAATAACCGTAATTTTGATAATCGGCATGTAAAAAGATAGGTTGGCAGGCAATAAAACATACGCCCACAGCAGCTGAATCGTCCGAGCAGTCAACAAGTGTTGTCGCATATTTTTACTTTTTACGGAAATGAAACATTTATAATACACTAAAATCTGATTAAGAGTAACAACTCATCAAGTAATTATCAGAAAACCATTAGAATTTGTTTGGTTTTTATAAAGTTCTGCCCCATGCCAACGCTTAGTATACAAAACTTTTAAATCATGGATTTAGCTGTTCAAGTCATAAAAATTTACTTGTTCGTATCAAGATCTTAAACTCTGTGTATCAATCTGAAGTCAATTGGATGATAACTTTAGCCTCTAGAGCGTCACGAGATTTTTCAAAGTGATCAAGGGCCATAACTCTGGCAGTAATTATAGGCTTCTTCGTCTCATGACCTTTAACACTGTGTATGAATTTAACTTTGGCCTCTAGAGCGTCCACAAGCACTTGTGAACGCCGGACGGACGGGGGCGACGACAATATACGACCACATATCAATGTGGGCGTATAAAAATTATGACCTCGAATGAAATTCGAACTCAGCCGTCCTTAGGGTGTAATGGTGATATAATAATACGTTTTTTTAAATTGGATAAAAATTATGACCTCTATAGGGTCCACAAGCTAAAAATGAGATTTTTCGTACAATCAGGGGCCATAATTCAGGAAGTTACAGTCTGATATGCGCGAATATCGAAAGGAACCGAGATCTTTGGGTTTTAAACTTACATTTCAAGTTTCAACAAAATCGGATTAAAATTGTGACCTCTATAGGGTCCACAACCTTGATATACCATATTTTTACGCTATTTGAAAACGAAGGGTGGCCATTTTGTCTGTCAGTTTTGGGCCGATTTTCACGAAATTCGAACTCGGCCGTCCTTAGGGTGTAACGGTGATATAATAATACGATTTTTTAAATTGGATAAAAATTATGACCTCCATAGGGTCCACAAGCTAAAAACGTGATTTTTTGTACAATCAGGGGCCATAATTCAGGAAGTTACGGTCCAATATGCGCAAATATCGAAACGAACCGAGATCTTTGGTTTATAAGCATACATTTCAAGTTTAAACCAAATCGGATAAAAATTGTGACCTCTACATTGTTCACACGCTAAAAACGTGATTTTTCTTACAATCAAGGGCCATAATCCATGAAGTTACAGTCCGATACATGCCAATATCGAAAGGAACCGAGATCTTTGGGTGATAAACCTATATTTTAAGTTTCATTGAAATCGGATAAAAATTGTGACCTGTAGACCGTTCACAAACAATTGTGGACGGACGGACGGACGGACAGGGGCGACGACAATATTAGTCCACATGAAAATGTGGGCGTATAAAAATGGAATTTTCTACTGTACACCTTCTTAAATACTATTATTAGCTTCTATTGCATTCACAAGTTTTTGGAAATGGGGGAATAACTCGAGAATGGAAAGTCGACAAATGCTGAATATTGATAGGAAATGAAATGAAATGACCAGAATGCTTTAAAATTATCTGTTAAAAAACAAAAGATTGGTTGCCAGGCAACGAAACATACGCCCACACCAGCTATATCGTCCGGGCAGTCAACAAGAGTTGCCCACAAGATTTTTTGAAGTGATCAAGGACCATAACTCTGGCAGTAATTATCTGAAATTGCTGAAAATCACTAGGCTTCTTTGTCTCATGGCCTTAAACACTGTGTATAAATGTTAAGTCAATCGGATATTAACTTTGGCCTCTAGAACGTCCACAAGATTTTTCAAAGTGATCAAGGGCCATAACCAGGGTTGTAAAAATCCACTAGCCCAACGCCCGGGCTACCAAAAATGACTTACGGGCTAGTGATCTATTTAGCGGTACTAGTCCTGGACTAGTGCCCTTTCACTGGTTTGTGAATTAAACTAGTGACGATATAGATAAATAAACTGTAAAATATCCCACATTTATTTCTCAAATTCCAAGGAAAACTCAATCCTAACAATAGATTTTCTGTAGTAAACATTAGAGCCGTATGGACATTTTTTGTATCCCTTCTATTCATTCATTCTTAACATTTCTTTTCTCCATCTTGCACGCTTTAACAGGTCAGGTATAAAACAGTTGAAATCACGTTGATTTAAAAACAAAAGACTCACTTATACTTTATATTAAATTAGTTCTGACATAAATATTTGAAAGCATACAAGATAATTTTGATTATTTATAATGTCGGGTATTTCCAAAAATTTACTACACGTGTTCATTACACACGCCACAATGAACGGTTCCAGAGGCCCGTGTGTCGGCAAACAGCATGGCACTTGAGTGATAATATAAACAATTTTACTATCCTGTCTATTTTAATATTATATCAGCATATCAAAGTGATGTGTTTCATTTTGAGACTCTTTATAGAGTGACCAGGTAAATAAATACGGTAAAACAATTGTCAATCAGTCAATGCTATCTCGTGCTTTGTAGTAAGTGCTAATAATAACTAACGTATACAAATCTTCCAGCGAGAATTAAAGGATGTTAATTTACTGTGATATATTACAAATGACATGTGCTATATATAGTATTTATATGGTCTTTAGTGAAAGAAAACATTGTTGTGGCTTCCATTCCTAGTTTTGAAGGTCAGATATGGTATGAAAACGAATATCGGTTTCTAGTTTTTTTAACCGTTTCACCAGTGCAACCGAACCGTGACCGATTAACCTTATACATCCTTAATTATTAGGCAATCAAGTCTACGATCTTTATTAAAAACGATAGGTTGGAAGGCAACAAAACATATGCCCAAATATTGAAGATTAAATCTTGTACCTTGTCTAACTATGGACTAGTGGATATTAATGCCAGGCCAGTGCCTGACAGTAGACTACTAGCCCTGGGCTAGTGAATTCAAAATTTTTTTTACACCCCTGTGTATAAATTTAAAGTCAATTGGGTATTAACTTTAGCCTCTAGAGTGTCCACAAGATTTTTCAAAGTGATCAAGGGCCATAAATAACTCTGGCAGTAATTCATGGCCTTAAACACTGTGTATAAATTTAAAGTCAATCGGATATTAAATTTAGCGGCTCTAGAGCGTCCACAAGATTTTAGCCTCTAGTCCACAAGATTTTTCAAAGTGATCAAGGGCTGTTACTCTGTCAGTAATTATCGGAAATCGCTGAAAATCAATAGGCTTCTACGCCTCATGACCCTAAACACTGTGTACAAATTTAAAGTCAATCGGATATTAATTAATTTTTAGCCTCTAGAGCGCCCACAAGATTTTTTGAAGTGATCAAGGGCCATAACTCTGGCAGTAATTATCGGAAATTGTTGAAAATCAATAGGCCTCTTCATCTCATGACTTTAAACACTGTGTATAAATTTAAAGTCAATCCGATATTAAGTTTAGCCTCTAGAGCGTCCACAAGATTTTTGAAGTGATCAAGGGTCATAACTCTGGCAGTAATTATAGGAAATCGCTGAAAATAAATAGGCGTCTTCGTCTCACGGCCTTAAACACTGTATATAAATTTAAAATTTAAAGTCAATTGTGGACGGACGGGGCGACGACAATATACAACCACATTTCAATGTGGGCGGATTAAAATGGTTCTACTACAAATAAATTCTGTCTTTGACTCCAGCCACAGAAGTGCGTGGTTCTAAGGCCTTCCTTTGAGCAGCTTTTGTAAACATTTGATTACACAAAAGTTAATGGTTCATACTTTACTGTTTGTGATAAAAGCATTTATTTCAATACAAATTATGACAATATGTGTTGAAAATTGTTTGTTTTAAGCTATTTTTACTTGCGCAAAGCACCCGTGAATATATCAATTGTAGCAGAGACATCAAAGTTACAATACTGCAGCTAACTCCACTAATAACAAAGTATCAAATGAATGAAAACAGTTCTAGATGTATTAATGATGCAAGTTTGATAGCCACGCAAAGGGTGAAGTAGGTACATGCAGCAGCTTTGTCTGAACAAAAGGAAAACTTGGATGTTGAACAAATTTGATAAAGATCTAGGGTCCTTGAAGAAATCTAATCTCTAGATTGCATCCTCTTATGACCCCATTGCTTCTTACCAAATTTGAAAAAAAATATGTTAAAACCTATTTAACATCTATCCCATTCACACTGTTTTCGGATATGGGGGAGGGGGGGAAAACTCAGGAACGGAATGGTTGAGGATTATGAATATCAATAGGGACTCCAATAATTCAAGTTAAATGTGAAA